GGCGTTCGCGTGGCGTTAGTCCGCAGCAGGAGGCAGCCCCGTGCCCAGGGGAGGCTCGGGGAGGTGCCCGCGGCGCTGGGGCCGGGATGAAACCCGGGGCGCTCGGGAGCTTCCCTGCTCTGTGCTGTGTCGAGCCCCGCCGGCATCTCCCCTGATGCCCCCCTGCCCCCCCGGCAAGCCTCGCTCGCTGCAGGCAGCTGTTCTAGCAGCCGGAGACCGTCCCGTTGGCACTCCTGTCCCTGCGCGGATGGAGAGGAGCCCGAGCGGGGAGAAAAGGGGGAGCGGGCGGTGAAGTTAGCGAGCACCGGATTCCTGCGCCCTGTAACGCAGCCTGTTGTCTGTGCTGCGAGATCCCGCCGTGAATGCGCAGCCCCAGGGCAAACCGCCTTGTCCGGAGCTGAAGTTTCCAGGCTTGGAAAGCCCGGCGGGGTCCAGACCCTCGCGCAGACAGATGCTGCAGTTTCTGTCCAGGAGTTTGAAGCTCCTGGTGGAGAACGTGCCAACGGTAGCAGCAGAGACCTGCAAACTCTTCCCTCGCTGGCAGCCTTTCGGATCGTATTTTCCTCTGCCTGCCCCGCTGCAGGGTCTAACATTGATTCTCGTGTTAGGTTTTATTGCTCCCCATAATTATTTAAGTTTGGGCAATAATTGCCAAATTGCTTGTCATCCTGCAGGTCTGGAGGAGTGACTCCTAGTCTAGTGCAGTGTTTAATCTTGAACTTCAAGATTAAACTACTGAGCGAGCTCCGAAGCCAGTTTCCTGGGGCGCTTTGGATCGTGACTTTCTGCTCAGCTGGCTGCAGCCTTGGGAAGGTTTGCACCGTGAGAGCTGCGTGCCAATCTGTCTTTAGACAGAGGCTTTATAGCTCTGTGTACCTAAGCGCTTCAGCCACCTGCTGTGATTCAGTGGGTCAGGATTTGACCCCTGGAGCGTGAGAATATGGTGTGTTCTGCATTTCTCCTTGTCTTTGTAAAATGGATCAGTCTTCCCTATGGTTCCAGTTGCTGCAAGTTTGGAGAGAGGCCCACAAGTCTGGGCAGGAAGCTGACCCATAGATGGTTCTTTGGACTTTAGAGTAGCACCTCAGATCTCGGCGGATAGAAGCAGGCACAGCAGGCGCTGGAAGAGCCTGCAGAGGTGTGAGGTTGTGATCAAGGTGGAAGTGAAAATGGGTGAGATTTCAAAGGGCATGAGAGGGCTCTGCAGCCTCCTTTCACAGCCTCTGGGGCACTGCCTAGTGGGTGCATTTCCACCTGTTACAGGGGCACAGCATTTCCACCTGTTTGTTTGCTCAGGGTGAGCTACCAGAACCACTGCTTCCTAACCCGGGGGCTGAGCTGGGTGGGCGCTTCCCGGTGGCTGAGAACAGATACAGGACTTCTAAATTCACTTCCCACTCTCTTGTCTTCCATGCAGTTATTTTACTGGACTCCAAGGAGTCCCAGGCAGAGCTGGGCTGGACCTCGCACCCATCAAACGGGGTAAGTGGAAGCTGTCCTGTCACTGGTAGAGCTCCTGGCAGCCAGTATGGGGGGCGTCCTGTCAAGAATGGCAGTGAATATGTCTGCTGGTGCTTGTGATCCGCATAGGATGAGAAGCCCGGTGAATTCAGAGTGGCAGTTTTGGGCCCTCTGTTTTGGGGAACGGCCTCACGGCTCCAGTGATCCAGTCCGTGCACTGCTGCTGGCAGTGGCGCAGCTGCAGGGAGGTGATGGGTGAGCTCTCGAGCTGTGCAGCCTCTGTGGGGCAGGGTGCGGAAGGCTTTGGCCCTGGGGAGTGGCTTCCAACCTGGCCACTGGGTCTAGAGCGGTACTGGCCTCTGGTCACAGAATAGCCCTGCTAGGGCAGGTGGGCAAAGTGCTGCTCAGCCCCAAGTGCCAGCAGCGGGCTGGAAAGAAGGAGCAGGTTTTTCTCTCCGAGCAGTGGCTTGACTGCCTGACACGCAGCGCAGCTGGACTGAGTAGTGCTTTTGTCGGCCCTGGGCGCCCAGGGAAGCATAGCGGGGCAAGTGGCTGCATCGATTGTGTCACAACAAGGCAGCAAACTTGGAGCAATTTGCCCAAACGAGTTTTACATCCTCGTAATAAGCAAACGAGCACCAGTCAATTGAAGCTTTAATGTGTGGCTGGCTTCCAGGCCTGTCTCTTTCAGGTTTTCACTCGGCTCCCTGCTGAGCAGGGGACAAACCAGAGCAGCTTGCAGGGAGCTGGGATACACAAGTGTCTGCGATGCCTGTGCCTCACCCTTGGGCTATCTGTAGCTGTGCCTAGAGGCGGTTTCCTGCCCCCGTCCTCCCCGTCAGGGGAGAAGTTGCATGTTGAGACCTAGGAGTTGTGAGGAAACTCCGTTGCTGGGTTTGCTTGATGCTGCTGCCTGGAGATGGGTTTGCTTCGAATGGCCCTGGAGTCAGCCCTCATGGGGGATGGCGAGCTGCTCCTGGTTTCAGCAGCCAGCACCCTTGCCCATGGTTCCCAGGATGGACCTCTTTCCTTGGAATTGGATGAGTTTGCTTCATGAGAGCTTTGGCTCCCGGCCCCACCATCCCACCTTGCTTCCCTGCATGAGCTGAGTTTGCATAGCACTGTCTGAGAAGGAAAAGCCAGAGCACAGGCCTGGCTTTGAAGAGACAGAGCCTGCCAGGAGCTGAGGTCCAAGCCCTGCAGAGGTCACACTTGAAAAGATGTGGGGGCCTTGTCTCCATTCATGAGCACTGCAGAGAGGTGTGTTATATGGCATCGTGTATCGCCCGGTGCAGGAGTTGTGACGGGTGGTGCGTGCATGCCAGGAGCTGTGTGTCTGGGCTTGGAGGGGGGTGTTGAGTAGCTGTGATTGAGGTGTAACTGTTCCTTGTTCTTTCCACAGTGGGAGGAGATCAGCGGCGTGGATGAAAACTATAAGCCGATCCGCACCTACCAGGTCTGCAATGTCATGGAAGCAAACCAGAACAACTGGCTGCAGACGGGCTGGATCGCACGCCGTGACGGGCAGCGGATCTTCATTGAGCTGAAGTTCACCCTGCGGGACTGCAACAGCATCCCCGGTGTGGCGGGGACCTGCAAGGAGACCTTCAACCTGTACTACGCAGAGGCAGACGCCGACCTGGGCCACAGCCTGCGCGAGAGCAAGCACACCAAGATCGACACCATTGCTGCCGATGAGAGCTTCACACAGGGTGACCTGGGTGAGCGCAAGATGAAGCTGAACACGGAGCTGCGGGAGATCGGGCACCTCACCAAGCGTGGCTTCCACCTGGGCTTCCAGGACGTGGGCGCCTGCGTGGCCCTGGTGTCTGTGAGGGTCTATTACAAAAAGTGCCTCTCCACGGTGCAGAACCTGGCCGTGTTCCCCGACACCGTGGCCGAGGCTGCATTCGCCACCCTGGTCGAAGTGAAGGGCGCCTGTGTCAACCATTCCGAAGTGGACCTGGATAACCCTCCCCGGATGCACTGTAGCGCGGAGGGGGAGTGGTTGGTGCCCATTGGGAAGTGTACGTGCAGCGCCGGCTTCGAAGAGAAGGACGGCGGGTGTGAAGGTAAAGTGTCCGTTCCTGCGTCCCTGCTATTTTGTTTTACTGTGTCCATCACCCTGGTGCTCGATGTAGGGAGGGGAAGGGCAGTTTGTCACTCTCTTCATGGCTTTGTAACCACTTACCAGCTTGCCATTAGGGTGCCCAGCCTTTGCCCTGGTGATGGCACTGTGCCGTTAGAGCTGGCTGTGCTGTGGGCTCAGAACGGCAGCCAATACTGCTGGCAGGTGCGTTCACACCATAACGCTCTGCAGTCATTTTAATGTCCTCGTTGTCCTGTTTTGGAGACAACTTAATAATTTAGTGACTTCACGACTTGCAAGGTTACATTCAATGGCAGCTGTAAAAGTAGATGTAGCTCCTCCTGAACAGGTGTCACTGTAATGAATTTGGTGCCACAATCACTTTGGTGCTTCTGACATGAGGGTGAGAGCAAAGCAATGCACGGGACTGGAGGGGGGGATGAGTGAGCATCTGAGTTTGGAGTAGAGGAGGGGCACTATCTAATATAACTTATGTTCTGTTGGGTCTTAGTCAAGGCCCAGCCTTGTTTGAAATATTGCTGTCGGTGGAAGTTGAATGTCAGGGTAACCCTGTGCCAGTTGCTGCAGCTGGGGTTTCCTGCCCATATCAGGCCATCTGCACATGCCCTTGTGGCTCTGTCTCTTGGGAATGGCATAGCTGCCATGGGGAAAATTACTTCCCTGTAGCCTTAACCCGCCTGTTGCATGTGACAACCCTGGGTTGCACCCTATGTGCTTTGGAGTGACAGGGCTCTGCATCACCAATGTTCCTGACATGGGTGTGTGGGGCAGGAAAGGGGCATTTTCTGGAGGGGAGAGATTCGCATGACCAAAAACATCTCTTAAAGTCATGTGGACACAGGAACTTGAGTGGTGTTGGGGAGAGGAGCGTGGGGAAGTGGGGGGCACAAGTCAATTTGGCTAACTGCAGGGCAGAAAGCAGCTTTCTGCCCCCCAGGCTGGCAGGTCCCGGGACACTAGGAGGGGCTGATCTTGTGCTTGGTGGGAGCTGTGTGAGTTGTGCACTTCGTTTCTTGGAAATGTTCTGTTTTGGAACAATGCTGGAAGTCAGACACCCTCTGAGCATCCTACGAGTCGCTGCCTGGTGCAGCGATTGTCAGAGGGTTGCAGGGCTAGAACCCAGCTGGGTTCTGCCTGGACAGGCCTGTGGGGCTGCAGAAAACCTCAGGGGATCCGTGATGGTCACTTGGGGGGTCCGACTCCTCCTGTGCAATAAAACAATGGGCCGTGCTCAGGGATCAGCTCTGTCCCACAATGACGACCTGGTAAGCACTGAGCTTCACGCGCAGGGGGACGGGTGCTGGTTATGCTCCTCCTCTGGAAGGCAGGCCAGCCTTCTAATGGGGCTCTTGGTAATAGTTACTTAATGCCCTCTTTAAGGAGACCCCATTAAAGCAATTGGAGTGAAATCTGGGTATTGTTCATTGCTCCGGTGCATGCGTGGCAGCCTGCCATGCCTCCCCATCTGTTTGGAGCGGGGAATTGACATAGTGAGTCCCAGAAGGCCCCGGCTGATGTTTCAGGTTTCTCTGTGTTGAGTTTAAATAATTCATATTCTCTTAGGAAAAATATTTGAAGTAATTTAATGGACATAATTAAGCTCTTTTCCCCTCTCACAGAAAGCAGGTCATTAGTCACTCTGCGGAGCTGCCTCTGGTGGCTGGTCCAAGAGCAGAGAAGAGTTTGGAGGCACTGAAAGTTTTCGGGATTTTTTTTCCCCCCCCTGGCTGTTCATTAGCATAGAACAAAGTGCGTCTCTTCCAGAGATGGATGGTGGGGGTCGGGGAGGTGGCCAGGCTCTTTCAGCAAGGACAAGGGCCACTTCTCGTGGAGGTGGAGACACCTAGGTGCCTTGTGGGCCCATGCCAACAGAGGGCACTGTATTCCCCACTCCCCACGCCAGGCTCTTCTGCTCCCACATCAGTCGTCTCTTTGCGTGGCATGGGGGTTGGGGTGCCATGGAGTGGTGGCTCCTGGCGTGTGGCCCAGCATGGTGCTGACTGGCCCCTGCTGATCCTTGTGAGAGGAGCCTTCTGTACTGGCAGCTAGGGGTGCCTGTCGCTCTCGCCTTCCTTGTGCCTGTTACCTGAGGGCAGCTCTGCTATGCTGGGAGGATGCTGCTTGTTTGCTCGAGATCTGTGTAGTGAACTGCCCAGGGTTCAGATCAAGGGAGCTGGCCAGGCCGCCAGCAAGGCTGTCCTCCTGTTGTAGCCCAGAGCCTAGACAGACCTGAACCCTTGTGATTGTCCCTTTCACAAAGGAACCTCCAACACAAAGCATCAGCTGGTGTCCCTGCCCCCATCCCTAGATCCAGCCTCCTGAAAACCTTATGGCACCCTGAAACTCTCAGCAAAAGCCAAGCGTGGGCCCCTGGACATCTGCGCTCCTGTCCAGGCTCCCTGTACCCGCTCAAAATCAGCAGGCAATGAAGTGGTGGGAAGGAAGGAGAAAGGTGTAGGCTGGTGCAAGCAGGTGGCATCCTTCCTGGGTCTGTGTCCCATTTGCAGGGCTGAGTGTCTTCTCTGGATGGTGGGTGTGGCGGGCCAGTAGGAGGAGCTCCTGCATTGAGCCTCCCACCTCACCACGCCCGTCCACCTTCCGGACTCCACGTGTCTCTCCAGGGCCCTGGCAGACCCCCTTTCGAGCCCCACCTCAGAGTCCGGGGGTAACGCGTGCTGCCACCACCCCGAGAAGGGACTGTCTGGGGCCTGTGTCCTTGGGGAAACACAGACCTAATAGTCCTATGGATACTCGACCCAGTACTAGAACTTGGGGCACTTCCCCAAGACGGGGGCCAAAAAGGATAGTTTCCCTTAGTCTGCAGACCCAAGGGGTCTCCTAGGCATAATCTAGACCCACTCCCAATAAGTCTCTCACACCAGGTACAAAGGAGAACTTTATTGGTTACAGAGGGTAGGGTTAGACGAGGGGACAGGGTAGAGCAAAATCAGAGAAATCCCATAGAGCAAACTCCTGTGGCTGGGGTAGCCTTTGATCTCGCATCTGAGTTGCTGCAAGCTATATATATCTAGCTGGATCGCAGTTAGCTACTCACAAGTATCATCCAGAGGCAGTTAGAGATTCCCTCTGGAGGCAGGCAGGTCCTTGATCGTGAGTTTTGAGAGAGAGCAAGTTTCAGATGGTCCAGCTCTTCTTTGTTCCTGAGCATCCCTCATGGCTGCTGCCCCCTCCTCCTGGTGCAGTCCTTAACTTATATAGCCCTTGTGACCTCATTTACCTGGTCCAATGGAGGCCAGCACCTGTTGGCTGTGAGCCAACCAACTTGAAATACATCACTAGTTGCCAGGCAGACTCTAGCCCATGAGGAAGGAAGCCCTTCACCCAGGTATGTGACGCCAGTCATGTAGGCAGAGGGAGCAGGTTTCCCCCCTCCCTCAGCAATGTGTCCAGCTCAGGTTACCCAAAGAGATGGGGTAAAGGTATGTATCCTCTGCTGGGTCCATCCTAGTCAAAGTTGTCACAGAGCAGAGTTTTGGGGGGAGAAACAAAGGTGGCTTTCTGCCACATGGGGCCTGTGGGGAGCATGCAAAGCCTGGAGCCAGGCTGACCGATCGGTGCTTTCTGTTGTTGGGTGTAAGAAGCTGGAGTGTGGGACCTGGCCTGCTTGGCTGGGCGTAGGGCTGCTGCGGTTGTAGAGGAGGTGATGTTTGGGCAGGCCGCTCCACTACATGTGTGGGGCAGCTTGAGCGGGACAGGGAGAGCAGCAGGGCCTGGGAGATGCTGTTTTTGCTCAGGGAGACGCCAACTTGCATGGGAATTAAGCGATAGCTCAGTAGTGTTCTCTGGTGTGATTTAAGGCTGAACTCCCCCTTGTATGCAGGGTGCACTCATGGCTTCTCATTGCAATCGGCACAGATAGGAAAGGGGTAATAGGATTTATGGCACTCGGTAATTACAGCTGCAGCAAAGCCAAAGCTCTTCGCTGCCCAGCTCCCTGCTCAGCACTGTTCATCCCATGTGCTTCCTGTCTCAGTTACCAGTCCCCCAAATGCAGCTAGCTCTGGGGTGGGGCGCAGTAGCACTCTCCCCGCTCAGTGAGTGGCTCTGTCACTGTAAACACGTTAGGGAAGTCCCTGTGGTTTTGTGCGCGCTTGCAAACAGCTGCTAATGCGTGATTACCTCTCTCCAGTGACTGCACGGAGGGCGAAGGGAAGGCTTTGTTGCAGTGCTGCTGAGCAGAGCCGGCCACTCAGCTCCTCAGCAGCTGTGTCCTTTTACCCTTAATTTCTCCAGGCACGGTTGCTGGCCCATTCCTATCATTTGTTCTGCAGCGCCTCGCCATGCCGTTCTGGCAGGAAAACGCCTGGCAGTGGAGGCTGTGCCTGGCGTTCGCTGCAAAGTTCTCTCTCTCTCACCTTCCCCCTCCGCATCCCACCCCTCTTCGCATCTGCAAGGAGAATTTCAACAAAGCCCAAGGTTAATATTTGCCAGCCCGGTTGGTTGCAAATGAGACAACTTCAACCAGACGTCGAATTAACATGATGGAGGCCAGTTTCCAAAAATAGCTGCCAGCCACTTTTCCTTGACAGACACGTAAATTTGTGCTGGAGCAAAGTTTCCTTTTCAATTTATTTCTCTCTGCTCCTGACAGCCATGGTGCACGCCGGCCCCACGTTAGCATTCTGCGGGTTTGCGGCAGGCTCCCCTGCGCACCTGCCTGTCAGCGGTTCTCATTTCCAGCGGGTTGGGGTCTAATTAGCAGGCAGTTCCTTTGGCCTTCGGATATCTTCCCCTCCGGGGGGTGATGCTACCGAAGCCAGGTTTGCAAGGGACGTGGAGCCTCTCTTGCCAAGCACAGTGCTGGGGCAAAGAGTCAGATCTGACTGCTCAGAGAAGCAGGTCCAGGGACACCCAGGGTCAGTGCGGTGCCCAGCATTGCCTCCTTATCTGGCACCTGCGATGGGGGGACATGGGCAGTGTCTGTGCTCCAGACCCGTGGCC